TAATTTGTTTTAAAAACAACCATCATAAACCCATTATACAGTAACACTACTAAGGTATTTGTGAAAAAAAATACCCTGTATATTCCACAATGAAAGAAATTTAGTGAGAAGAATATCATTATTTACATTTTGGCAAATCTTTTTAATATCTGACTTAGTAGCCAGAATTAAATGTAAATATGCTTCTATAGTTAATCTCTTGCCATGTCATGTGTCATACAAATTCTGGAAAACTCCACTGTACACTTGTGAGAGTGATAAAGGCAAATAACTGTTTTAGTTTCACTTCACCAATTGTGGGGTTTTTTATACTTTATGTGGCATAACCCTGAAAGCATCTCAGCATCCCTCAGCCATCTCTGGATTTCATTTTGAGAATCTCTGGAATGAAGGAACCTGAGATAGGAACCATTGAGTAGAGTGAAGTGCCTTCTAAAGGTGGATAAAGCACAGAATCCTTTTGAAGTAAAAATAATTCATGGACTCTCTAATGATTTCTCAAATTATCTCCAATATAAGTATAAACTAAAAAATAGATGGAAATTCCATTGCATAAGCACTTGGACAACTATTAAATTGAAATGTAAAAGTATAAAGCAAATACAAACAAAAAATAAAATTAAAATTCTTAACATTCACTTACTTTGACAGATGATTTTTGCTAAAACAGAATCATGTTTCTAACATGAATATAACACTTAGTGCTCAAGTGGCAAGGTTCATCAGCATGTATGCACTACCCTTTGCAATGTGTAACACATTTGTCTCTTTCATTCTTTCTTACTGGACTTTGGGTGAACAAAGTTGAATAAGGCATAATCTTTTGTTCAGCACACATTCTCATTATTGACCCATTCACGGTCTTCTTTTATTTAGTTAGTTGGTTTTCACACTTATGAATTACAGTAAACATTACTACCCCAAATAAAACTTAGAATCTTGACAATAACTTTAACAATACAGTCCCCCTATTCTATTCCCTATGCTCCTCCAACCCATGGCAACTATCATCCTAAATTATGTTTCTATCATTCTTTTTGCTTTTTAAAATACAGTTTTATGTTATACACATAGTTTTATACATGCCTAAAAAGGTTTATATAATTGTAAAAAGTTAATATTTTCATTTTTATTGTTTTTAACTTCATAGAAGGAGAAATGTGACATAATATTGGAGATTTATTTTCTCTGTTAGTATTATTTGGCTAATATCTATCCACATTTTACTGCTGCATAGTGTTGTGCTTCATTCATTTTATCTACTGTATAATATTCTATTATGTGATTTGTAGCAATTTATCCATCCACTTTCATATTGGTAAGTACTGGGTGATTTCCACTGTCTTCACTACTGAGAACAGTGCTGCTTTGAACACTTTTATTCACATTGCCATTGTACATGTGTAAAGCATATCATTTCTTCTACAATTTTTCTCTACTCAGACTACAACAGAATCTATAGCATATCTGACTCTACCTGTCCTACAATAGGCCCAAAAACATTATTTACATAATTTAAAAAATAGAGCATTATTGAGCATTTACTATTTGGCAGACAATATTCTAAGATCTCTACACTTATAGGCTCCTCTATTTCTCCTTTAATGTGGAAAAATAGACAGATCTACAGTGATAGTTGGAGACTTCAACACCCCTTTCAACAATTAAAAGAACTAGATAAAAAATCAGTAAGACTATAAAAGAGTTTAACAGCACAAAAATCAATAGGATCTAATCAACATTTATAAAACACTCCCCAACGACTCTTTACATTAAAATCAACTAGTCTATCTTGCATTTTAAATGAATCTTTTACCCAAGAATGATTCAGTAATGATTCAACATCACGGTTGGTCATGGGAAAAATATTGACTCACTGAGTTATGCATATCTTCCAAATGTTGACACATTTCATTACACAATATTAAAAGATTGCTTTTGTCAATATCATCACTGACCTTTAAGAAAAGTTTTTAAGCAATGGATTATATAAGTTTCCAAAATTCTAATTTTTGTTTGAAATCTTGGTATTTTTCATCGGCAACAAATATTGTATATGCCCACTCTCCTCCCCTTGGTAACCACTAGTCACTTTTCAGCATCTATAAGTCTAATGCTGTTTTGTTCCTTCTGTTTTGCTTTGTTTTTTTAGTCCACAAATAGTGAAATCATATTGTATTTGTCTTTCTCCACCTGCTTCAAATATCAGGCCCACATTGTTCATTGTCTAGAAATTATCTGTGAAATACCTAAGTTTAAATTGCTACATGTTATTTGCCACTAAATTTTTTCAAGTAAAAATGGTATTGAATGGAAATAACAAGTATTTCAGCTCACAACTCCAGGAATTTCACAAGTGCTTTCCCTCAGGTCTACAGTACTTGAGTATGCAGAGTAAATGTTTCCTGAGTACTTTGCATTCAGTCAAACAAACAGGAAAAAAATAGTTATTCAAGTATCAAATGCAATAAGGTTATTTTTACTATTACATCTTTGACATTCCTAAATGAAATTGCATTAAACACTTTTTAGAAATTATAAATTTAAAAATTTTTTTATCACAGTGGTTCAACAGTTCCCTTCCCCTTCTGCCTCCCCCATGTACTCACCTGTACCTTGGTAACCATTAGTGACTTCTCAGTGTCTGTAAGTCTAGTCATTAAACATTTTTAATGCAAGGGAATGGCTATGAAAAAGATAATGATTGTTAATACAATTTGGAGCCACTGACTTGATTCATATTTAGGCAGCAGTAGTTTTACCCATCATTTCTTTTGCACCTTCCTTGCAAATTTCAACAGAGTGAAAAGAACAAATAATGTCTTAGTATTATTATTAAAGTAGTTTTGACTTTATAGACCCCCTGAAAAATTAAAACACCCACCCCCAGGTTTCTAGGGACCACGTTTTTGACAGCCACTGTTCTAACAAAGGTTTTGCTTCTTTAGTTCAACTACTGTTTTCCAGCTACTAGAACAATAATTGTCACATAGTAGGTTTTCAGTAAATATTTGTTAGATAAAGAATGAGTGGGTCAATGAATTAGCCCTGTGGACACTTGGTTGAAATTTCTTACCACTCTAAAATTCTACAAAGAGAAATAATTCATTCTTGGATTCGTTGATTCACCTTTTCAAATAGTGTCTAATCCCTGAAAGAAGAAAGAAAGAAGAAATAGTTCTAGTTTGAGGTGTAGCACATAAAGTGAAAAGCAAAAAAAGGAGTACACATAATATGGATATGGAACAAAGATCTGCAGAAAGCATCATAGAAACCACGGGTTCTTTCTTACCTCAAAATTCTATGCAAGTCCCAAGGGAGATGGTGGTAACCCTTTTATTATTAAATGAATCAGATGATTAATTCATTATAAAAATATGGGCTTTATGATTACTTTATAAGAAACTGTTCAAACAAATTACCTTGAGAAAGAGAGAGAGAGAAAAAGAAGTGCTCCTAACTGTATCCCTTTGGCATTATTACCCAAACATCTAGTATAGTTATTATGATTATCTGTTACTGATTATTTTTGTTATAGATTAAATGCCAAACGATGGTGCTTTTTTAATTAGATTTTATTATTTAATAAACTGTGTGTATGTTTGTATTATAAAACATGTCACATGGCACCCAAAACATAGGGTAAGAGAGTCAGTTACACAAAGTAGCTATTAGAATAAAATGCAAGGTTCACAACCTTCTTTGAACAGCCCATCTACTATTCACAGGCAGCAGTGGAAAGCCAGGAGTTTGGGGTTCTAGGGACCACATTTTTGACAGCCACTGTTCTGTTAAAACAACACTTTTGCCAACTCTTTTTTTTTTTAATACAATGTACATCACAGTGGTTTAACAGTCCCCTCCACCTGTTCTAGCCCACTCTCCTCCCTTGGTAACCAACCACTAGTCACTTTTCAGTGTCTGTAAGTCTAATGCTGTTTTGTTCCTTCTCTTTTGCTTTGTTTTTATAGTCCACAAATAATGAAATCATATTGTATTTTTCTTTCTCCACCTGGCTTATTTCACTGAACATAATGCCCTCTAGATCCATCCATGTTGTTGCAAATAGCAGGATTTCTTTTCTTTTTATGGTTGAATAATATTTCATTGTGTGTATGTACCACATCTTTATCCATTCATCTACTGATGGACACATAGGTTGCTTCCATATCTTGGCTATTGCAAACAGTGCAGCAATAAACATAGGGGTGCGCATATCTTTTTGAATCAGGGATTTTGTTTTCTTTTGGTAAATTCCTAGAAGTGGAATTACTGGGTCAAATGGTATTTCTATTTTTAGTTTTTTGAGGAACCTCCATACTGCTTTCCACAGTGGATGCACCAATTTGCAGTCCCACTGACAGTGAAGGAGGGTCCTATTTCTCCACATCCTCCCCAGGATTTGCTATTGCTTGTCTTTGGGATAGTGGCCATTCTGACTTGTGTAAGGTGATATCTCATTGTGGTTTTAATTTGCATTTCCCTGATGAGTAGTGATGTGGAGCATCTTTTCATGTGCCTGTTGGCCATCTGAATTTCTTCTTTGGAGAAGTGTCTGTTCAGGTCCTCCATCCATTTTCTTATTGGGTTATTTGTTTTTAGGGTTTTGAGGCATGTGAGTTCTTTATATATTTTGGATGTTGACCCCTTATCAGATGAGTCATTTACAAATATATTCTCCTATACAGTAGATTGCCTTTTTGTTCTGCTGATGGTGTCCTTTGCTGTAGAGCTTTTTAGTTTGATGTCATCCCACTTGTTCATTTTTTACTTTGTTTTCCTTGCCTGAGGAAATATGTCCAGGAAAAAATTGCTTATATTTATGTTTAGGAGATTTTTGCCTATGTTTTCTTCTTAGAGTTTTATGGTTTCATGTCTTACATTCAGGTCTTTAATCCACTTTGAGTTTACTTTTGTGTATGGAGTTAGACAATAATCCAGTTTCACTCTCTTGTATGTAGCTGTCCAGTTTTGCCAATACCAGTTGTTGAAGAGGCTGTTTTTGCCATTGTATATTCATGGCTTCTTTGTCATATATTAATTGACCATATATGTGTAGGTTTATATCTGGGCTCTCTATTCTGTTCCATTGATCTGTGGGTGTATTCTTGTGCCAGTGAGCTTTTGCTTCTTTAGTGTTTTTCAGCTACTAGAATGGTAACTAGCACATAGTAGGTGTTCAATAAATATTTGTTAGATAAGAATGAATGGATCAATGAATTAGATCTGTGAACACTTCACTGTAATTTCAGCCAAAGAACAAAAGAGGGTTGGAATACCAATTCCATTCCTTTCCAGCTCTGTAAGTCCCTGAGTGAGTTTTTTATTTATCTAATCCTGAGTGTCCTCATGTATAAAAGGGAGATCCTAAAACTAATTTCATTTCAAAGAATTTTGGTGAATGTCCAATTAAATAATGAAATAGCTTACAAATGATAAGGAAAAATCAACTGATGGTAATGTTTATTACTATTTCTCTGATTCAAATTAAGTTTGGTTACACCTAAACAGTCTTCTTAAGTCATATCAATATTTAAAAAGAGAAAAGTCCTTAATTATTAGTAGTAAACTAAAAGAAAATGCCTCTTAATTTTGAGAATGAAAACTAGTGGCAATTTAAATGATCATTTCCTATCTTCAAACTGATGCATTCTAAATCATGCATGTTCTAAGGCTCCCAGTAAAAACAGAATAAAAAGAATTTTAAGATCCAAGATAGCAAATGAAGAAAGGTTAATTGCAATTTACAAACCACTGGAAAAATACCTATTGGACATTTAATAACTAGCTACTATATATGACCACATTAAGGTAATATATTTTGTCCTCCCTTTAAAATATTTTTGCATGTAAAGTGTCTATCTATCATGTAGTCAATTGCCTCCCACTGCATGAGATCATTCCCAACATATGCACAAGAGTAATAACAGAGTATACTGTTTGTTTGAAAGCAATAATTACACTAGAATAGTCTGTCATACTGACATACCTTTAATGTCCCAGTGTTAAAAAGGCTCTTTAAGATTGTGAACTCACAATAGTGTATGAGTGCTCCAAAAAAAGTACTGATTCAATTACTTAGAGTGCTAAAGGCATTGGGCAATCTTTTTATTTTATTTTCCTCACAAATGCAGGAGAAAATGCTATAGGGATCATTTCTTGTCTTAGTCTGAGCACCCTGTGGAGAGGATCCGAGCATGATGTTTCCTTTGAAGTGAATGGAATATCCACACTCAGATCAGTTCTGAGGAGTACAAAAAACTGGCCACTTGAAAAACAGACATTAGCATTTAAATGAGACTAGGCTTAAAAGAATATTCAAGCCACAAAAAATGCTAAGATGTGAAAACTAAGGTACAATTTTTCAGGAATCCTAGGTCAAACTACCTTGCATTAGAACCAGTCTTTCTTAGATCCAACACAAAGAAAATAGAAAATGTCCAAAAAGCTTAGAGATCAGGTCAGAAATAGGGGACCTATGTGATACTGAAATTTCACACATGCCAAGTATTCTACTATGGCTACACAGAGAATTCTGGCATTATCTAAGTATTATATGTGTTCTAAATCCTGATTTCCATTCGGTATTTAGTACTAGCAGACCGGCAAAGTGAAAAAACAACACAAAATAAAAATAACCATCACAAAACAATATTCCAGATAAAAATTTCAAGCATAAAGCTTGCTGATGTGAGTAAATCCAGCATACAAAATATAATTTTCTTTGAATGCAAAATATATCCACCATCTATAAAACCAAAATAGAAAACAGAATTAGAATTAGAGTTATTTCAACAGTATTTATCATCTGTCAATCAGGAACTAGTCTTTGAATAACACCACCATTCAAGACACTTGTGCGAAGCTGAGTTTAAGTCTCCTGACTTTGCTGTTTATATATAAAAAGATAAATAACTATGTAAGGCAATTGAGCACCAAAAATTCTTTGAGAGAAGGGGACCATAGTAAGCTAAGAAGGCCTGGACAGTCTTCCTAGATAGTTCTTGAAGGGTGGAAAGCACTTAGCTCAGCAGAATAGAGTGTTGAGGTCCTCTACATAGAGGGAAGCGTGCAAGCAAAGCCTTAGATACAGGCAGGAAGAGAAATTTTGAAAGATAGGAAGACCAACTGGCCTAGACTAAAGGGTCCTGTCAGTGCCTAGTAAGAGAGAAAGGAAGAAAGGAAGGCTTGGGGTCAGAATAGAGGTCTCTTCGTGCCAAATCTCTCACGGCAAGTCATAGACTCATAGAATTACACATTAAAGGGACAGTGCTGATGATCAGGTCCAACGTACAGATAACCCTTGATTCTCTCTTCAGCATTTATGACAAATTGTCATCAAGCCTCTGCTTGAAGGACACATAACTCATGGGCACATCATTCTGAAAGCAAGCACCTTCACTAGCATGTTTTCATCTGCTCAAAAGTCCGATGCAATGAGGTGTTCCATGAACTACAACATGCTGACCTTCCATCCCACTACTCTTCAGTCTCACCAATTCCATGTTATTGATTCACTGACTAGTTATAGAATTTCACTTCTCCAAAAATACTTATGGAAAATAAAGAATTATGTCTCCATGTGATATTGTGATCTATGACAAGAAATATATTTGGGCATTCAGATGACAAAAACATATTTCTCATGTATATATTTGGTCTTCATCCACAGTTGCTGGCTCACAGCTCAGGAATTTCCTGAGCATAAGAGCAATGGCAGCATCTTTTGGGATAGTATTTGGTCTCTTGTCCTCAGTTCCTGAACCATTCAGAGCCATAAAGGCAAAATGGGAGTCTTATTATTCATAACCAGTCCCTTTCCACCACAACTGGGTTTACGTTAATGAGGGGACCTTTGGAAAGCACCTAAGGATGGGGACTGGTTGGTTGCCAGGGGAAGCAATCAGAGGTTTGGAACTTTCAGTCCCACCCCTTAATTTCCAGGAAGAGGGAGGTGGGGACTGGAGATTGAATTAGTCACCAATGACCAGTGAGTTAATCAGTCATGCCTCTGTAATGAAGCCATCTTCAACTGGTGTCTAAAGCAGTGGGCTGTCGTATGCATATATCAATAGATAGATTTGATTTATTGATATGTGTACATGTGTGTGTGTGTCTATAATTATATATATATATATAGACACACATACATATATATCTCAATAGATACAAAGTGTCATTGAGCTGAATTCTCAGATACCTCTTGGAGTGTCCAAGAATATTTTATTAGTGTGGGGAAGACCACTCCCCCTACTGGAACTGGGGTCCAAGAACCTAAAATATTCCCTCGCTCCCTTTTTATCTTTGCCCATCCAATATTTATTCAAAGTAAATGTCATTCTGTGCAAGGTGCTGGGGGCTGAAGGAGAAGAGGGCTGAGTCTTCACTTTAATTCAAGATTTGGTGGTTATACTGCTTTTCCATTGCTATCATAACAGACGACCACAAATTTAGCATTTTAGAACATGCAAATTTTTTACCTTAGGGATTTGTAGATTAGAAGTCCAAAGGTGGTCTCACCGGGCCCAAATCAAAGTGTTGGCAGGGCAGTGTTCCTTTTCAGAGGCTCTATGGGAGCACCCACATTTTCACTCATTTAGGTTGTCGGCAGGCGTCTGTTTCTTGCGGTTGTAGGACTGAGGGTCCTGTTCCCTTGCTGGCTGTTGGTCAAGAGTTATTCCCAGCTTCTAGACCCTCCTGCATTCCTTGGCTTATTGTCCCCTTTATCTTCAGAGTCAGATGGCAGTTCAGTCTTTCTCATGTCTCATCTCTCCTGCCTCTTTCCTCATTTAATCTCTATGACCAGCTCTCCTACCTTCCTCATCTACTTTGAAGTGATGAGACTAGGCCCACCCAATAACTGATAATTCAGGAAAATCTCTCCATCTTAAGGCCGTTAACCTTAATCACATCTCCAAAGTCCCTTTTGCCAGGTTAAGTCACATATTCACAGCCTCCAGGGCTTAGGGCATGGACATCATTATTCTGACCACCACAGCAGAATTTTTTTAAAACTGCAAGACAAAAAACAAAAGCCACATAATTATTAATGTGTAGCCATGGAGTGGTGATTAATGTAGCAGCCATGATAAGAAAGGATCAGAGCTAACAATTGATTCAGTCCCTCTAATTTTTTTTTTCTGGGAAGACAGCAAGATGCAGTAAGCAAAGAGCCTGACACATGGTAAGCATTCAACAAGTAGGAGATCCATTATAATCCAAATGCCCTCAATAATCCCACCTGCAGATGCCTCCTCTTTAATACTCAAACAGTTATCCAATCCTCCACTTACTGGGCTGAAGGAAGGGCTGCCTTTTACCATGTCCCCTTTCCTCTGGGAAGGATCATTCCATGCCCCTCAGGTCCCCCTGGGCTGCCTGGCCTCTCCCTCTGCACTGCTCCGGCCATTCTCCAGGTCACAGCACCATGTCCGCACTGCTGCAGCCACTGCAGGTCTCCCACAGCTCCTTTGAGCACTGACCCACACTCGTCGCTTCAGACTCAGCAAATGCAGGGTATGGAGAAGAGAAAACAAACGATGCAGATGGGGAAACTTAAACTTGGATATTTGTTACTGCTGTTTGCAGAGCCCATTACCTTATCCCCAACAACAGTCCCCCTATGCATGGTCTCTCTCTGATTGCTCTCCTGCAGGGACCACTGTGGCTGCCACTGACCAGAATATACCTTAACCAGTACCTCCGTATTGCTTCAGCACTCAGACATTCAGTCTCAGGTGTCCTGTCCTGAGGATGTTTAGGCCTTGATCTCAGGAAACTTAAAAATGCCCAGTGTATCCTACCAGCACAACACTCTCCTACAAAGAGCAATAGCAAAGTTCCTGGCTGCTCAAGAATCAAGAAAATGCTGACATTTTAAAACAGTTGTTTCTTGTAGCCATCAATACTTCAGAAACATAGGGGTCTGATCTCGAGGTACTTCCTTGAATGAATAAATTTTTGCATTTTCTTTTCAAGGACTAATCTCATATTATTTTTGAAGGAACTTGCAATCCTTCAGTCCAGCCCCTCACTGTGCATTGGAAAAACTGAGACCCCAAAATAAGTGATATTACTGTCACATAACTCATTAGCAATAAATGCACAATAATGAGAACCAGGTATTTTGACTTCTTGTATGCTACTTTGAAAAACTTTTTTTTTCTTCTATTTATGATAAACACAAAAATTTTCAATACCTTTTTGTGGTTTCCTTTGCTGAAAAATAAATATGACTGGAAAATCTATGTCACTCTTTATACATCAGAGGATTTCTCTTGTTGAAACTGAATCTCCAATATCATCCCACTAAGAACCTAAAAATAGAGACACACATCCACAGCTGGAAAATGAAAAGAAAATACAAATATGATGAGCAAGAAAACTGTAGCAAATATACTTCATTTTCAGTTTTCAAGTCACTGAAAAGTAACAGAATGCTATGACAAAGGATGCAGTTTATGCCTTTTGAAAATAACATTGATCATTTTTCCAACAATAAATGTATTACATGCTTACTTTGGAAAATCCAGAAAGTATAAAGCATTTTTAAAAATTCAACACAATTGAGATCTTATACTCAAATATTTTCAAATAATCTACCCATTCTTCTAATTTCATTTGCATGTATTAATAATTCTTTGTGTATTTTTCATTTGAAAAATATGTAGAAAATTGAACTAGTCCATCTGGCAAGAAATTAACTGAATTTCTTATTCAAAAAAAATCAAAGCTTGTGGAGCAATATTGGAAACATCAATTTCTAGAAATTTCTGGTGATTCAGTGGTTATTCTAGCCTTCATCTCCACCGTACCAACTTCTTGCACTGCTAATAACCTCTCCAAATAAGACAGTGAAGAAAAGAATTATTTACTTACACTTTACTTGACCTTATAATCCCTAGTGTCTATTCAAACACTATTAGCATATTCAACTTCCCCAGTTGATTTCCTCCATAGCCCGTTCGCTATTCCATTGACCTCCTCTTAGTCCATCATAATGAATTGTGTGTGGGAGAAATGTTCATGGCTTACATCACGGTATTATATACAAAATCTATCATGTATTCTCTTTGGGATTAGAATATTTTCATTTCACAATCATATTCAAAGTGTTAACTACTTATGTGAAATTTCTGTTAAGGTTTTAACACTCCTTTTTCAGAATCAAATATTTGGTTCTTGATTAGTGGTGAATCTACTTAACATTGATGATCCTGGCTGTCCTTGTAATTATTTTGTTTCTAAACCTTGAACTTTATAGAAAGAATTAACTATAAAATGTATCTGCTTTTTTAAAGCTAAATTGGATAATGCTTTAATAGCTCAAGGGGATTACTGATGGGAATTTGAAAGACTTGTAAGATTCAATTTCCCCCAAGTCTGTTTTCCTGCAGTGATCTATGGCTTTGGTTCCCGTAACAAACCCACCAAAATGAGGGGAGGGCATGGATTTTCACTGTGAGCCAGGCTTGCTTTCTTGGAATGCTAGGTAGAGAACATAATTCAGTATTGAAAACTTACTTTGTCAACCAAAGTAACAAATTTATTGATTAAAAATAGTAAAAAATTGCACCTAATATATAGAACAGTTCATATTAAGTTCATAAAAATGTATCAAGTGTAAGTGTATTAAAAATGGTTTTATTTTTAATGGTTGGGTCTTTACACTCTTCTGAAAGCTGCTCTGACTGCACATAAAAAACATTTAGGGAATTAAATGAACACCTATCATCAAGCCCCCTTGCCAGAGAGTCTTGCTTACTTGGTCTGAGGCAGGGTGGAGGCATCGAATTTGAGAGCTCCCCAGGAGGTTTTAATGTGCAATCAGGATTGAGAATCACTATGTCTAGCCACTGGGACTGAGATGTGTTTTTCTCCTCTGAATAAAGGGATTGTATGAAATTAGAGGGACCAGTTCCTGGGGAATGTGGGATATATGAATCATAATTAGGTCTTCTAAGTGTTAACCATATTCTGGGCAGGGACCACCTGTGGAGCTAAGGATTAAAAATGAATGATGCAAAAAAAATAAAAATAAAAATGAATGATGCCCTTTGTACCATAATGATTCTACTCTCTGGAAAGCTATTAAAATATTCTTCTTAAGAATTTTTTTCTGGTCTATTTTTTTTCTAGTCACAAGAGAAGGCAGTATGAGGTATTCAAGAAGGCTATGTGTACTTAACCTGGCAGAACTTTCTGCAAAACATTACAGTATTTTATTTATGTGTGCATCATGTAGTGAAGGAAGGGAGAATAAGTATTTGCCTGAAAAAGAGAGAAAGAGGTTTTACATTTGCATTACATCAATGTTTGACTTGGCCTAACTACCTTATTGCACTTTTCAAATCTTAAGATCTGTTTGATGCATACATTTAACAAGTCTAGCCTTATTTAAATCAGAATTTATGTCCTTTGACTACCATTTCTAGCGTTGTTCATCTGCACACCCCTGGAGCTGATCAGTGTGTGGTGATCCTTTTGTTTTCAAAGGAAACTTCATGTTCACTTTCTCTCTGCAGGGGTTAGCAGAGAAAGACAAGAAAATAGTCCCATAGTGTTTCTGCCAGTCAATGGGGAAAATTTTTCCTCCTGTGTGTATCATGATAGGTAATTGAATTAGTACTCCAGTAGGAAAGGGTTTGCTATTTCATACTCCTATAGTTTTTTCTTAACACCATGAAATTAAAGACATGCCAGCATGGAGCTGCATATTCCTGATCACTTTCAAATAAGCAATGTAGTATATTATTTCTTATATGTGTTTTTATGGCACATGCTGTGCAAGATAATTGACTCTATGACAGATGTCTATATTTCAGACTAAAATTTATTTGTGAAAGAACAAACACATTATTTTAACATGGGGCTATTCATTATGTGGCCCACAAGGTACTTTTTGATGACTTGTAAATTGAAATTAATACCTTCTCTTGTCGTTCTGAATGTGCATAAGCAAATGTGACTGTTTGATATAAACAATTTGAAGCTTATTCTACTATTTGACTGTAACCTTCTGTTCTCAATCAAGGTCGAGTGTTCATAGATCTTATTTGAAATGCTGTGAAATGAGGAAGACTGCACTTCTATTTCTTTTCAGAGAAGTCTGCAGACCTGCACATGCCCCAAGTTGTCTGGATAAGGTCAGTCCATCCAACCCATCTTTACAATTAAATGACTACCGGAAGTTCTAAAAAGACATATAGGAGAGATGCATCACTTCTCTACTCCATCATTTCTGCTCAGAATGTCACTCTTTTCCAAGACTAACACCAGTGGGACAGCATCTGAAGTCCCTGACATTTTTGTGTGAGGTGGATTGTCTTGAAGAACTGGCAGTATTCAGTAGACAAGGCTGCTGTGAAGGCAAATTGAAAAAAGGGGAGGTTTACAGAGGAACTTCTATCGCCATTTACTTTGTAACACTGCCTGAGACCAATTCTGCTGCCTGTAAATTAGCTCTCCCATTCTTTTTTGATATAAGAACTTTTCCCAGGAAAAAAACTGGACCCTTCACCCCCATCAGCTGACTGGATGCTTTTTGTGATAAGATTGTACTTAATATAAAATTAAAATAATTAATTGATACAGAGGGATTACCATATTCAGAAAGGATTTAAGTTTAATAAGATTCCATTTCAGAGATGACTTTCCTTTTAATGAGAAGGGAAGGAGAAACTTTATTTAGGTTGGGTCTCTTCTAGCCTCTTGAACTGTCAGTGGCTTAGCCTTTTTGCACACTAGAGGAAACAAGAGCAGAAAAGGAGCTTTTACTACTAAATTGGAGGTAGTCTTAACAAAAGTAAAACGGGGACACTCAGGACTGGTTTGTAATGACACTTGCAAAGTGCAGAGTCAGCCTCAGGTGAGGTGGCGCCCCGAGGCCAAGAGAAAGGAGTCTTCTCACCCACGAAGCGGGGGTGGTTGGCTCCCTCCATGGGACTAGCTGAATCTATGTGCTCAGTGGCTGGACAGCACACAGACTGGAATGCCCGGAGGCTCTGACGTCTGACTTCTGGGCGTGGCGGTGGCTTCCTCAGGCATACTGCCTCTTTATCCACACAGCTGAAGCCGTGGCTGTGCCCACCAGGACCCTGAGGGTGTGAGAGAGAATTGCCATCAGGTAACACTGGAAGTGTTGTCTCAGACATTCTCTCACATTGGAGGTAAAAATGTAGTCGTCACCACTGAGGAAGAAAATTATCTTCACATGAGAATGCATTGAACTGAGCTTAAATAACCACCACCACAGCCATAAGACACTGTTTTCTCGTCCTCTTGCAGAAAGTGACTTCTTATTTAAGGGAGGGTCCCCAGTGCTTGCTTTTCTTAAAGACTCAGGCCAGGAGGGAGGGATAAGTGACTCAGGTGATACTTAAAGCAGAGCAGTCCAGCAAGCTGCAAACTACCCCGCTCTGTTTCCTTGCATCGCGTCAGTGATCATCACTTTTCAGGATGAATTTCTCATCACTGGCCAAAAGTTTGGGGTCATCAGCCTTTCTTGGAATTTAGCTTGGGAAGTGGGGCGGGTGAAGGCATTCCCTAGGTCCTGAAGTTGATCCTTTACTCCGAACCGCTCGCTGGGAATTTTGTTAGAAGTCCAGATTTTCCAATCCATCCACTGCAAGCAGCAGTGGTTTCCCTAAGGAGCAATGGATTTTCTTTCTGGCAGTTGCCCTGTGGCGGGAGGGCTTTGCAGCCTTCGTTACAGCCTCCTTCCTGCGTACTCATTCGGTTTGCACTTTCCGTCCTTGCCTTCAGCCCACTGGCTTTTCCTTTCTTGTCCCCATACCCAGAAGCTCCCCTTGCCTTATCCCTCCCCCCAAACCCAAGGGTCCCAGGAGAACAAGCGGCCCGGGAAGACCAGACCACTGGAATTTGTGCCGGGGCATGGGGCGACAAAGGCTGGCGAAAGAGACTTCGGGAGAAGAGAAGCGGCGCGCTGGGGAGGGAAAAGGTGCGAAGAACACATCCAAGAGGTTACCTGCAGTAGGGTATAGACAGTGGCAAACGCCGGCCCTGGATTTAAACGCGTATCATTTGTGTATGGGGTCAGTGAGACACAGTATCTAGCTATTGGGTGTAATACCTTCGGGCAGGAACTTCCCGAATCCTCGGCTCCCTGTTTCTCCAGCTTTTTGGGAGGCGGGGAACCAGTTGGCTCCTGGGTTCCCTGCCTGCAGTTTAGGGAAGAAGTGGTCGCAGTGTGAGCGTTGAGCTTAGATTCTAAATTTTTTTTTCCCCCCCCCCGGGGGGACAGAGATGGAAAACCAGGCTAGCAAAGGGGACCCCCCCCCCCAGGCCTGAGGTTCGGGCGAGGAAACTGCCAAGAACTGAGCGAGGTGGCCTGAATTCAGGAACCGGGCCAGGGTCTGTTTGTGAATGGAAACGGCACGTTTACCACAAGTTCAGCCCCCGTGCCCCGTCCGCCAGTTCCGCGCACTCCTGGCCCAGAGTCCCCAGCCCGGGGGGGCGGGGTGGGGGGAGGGCCCCTTGGTCCTCTCGGGAAACGTCTTCCCAGCCCAAGCCGGGCGTGGGGAGAGTCGGACATTTTCCTCGGCCTCTCTGCGGGCAGCCGGTGTGGCCACCTCGAAGGGCTGCTTTTAGGGACACTGGGCTCGGGTGGAGCAAAAGGAGACTTGCAGGCCCGGCTGCCACCGCCTTCCTTGGGGCTCACGGGCAAGAGTTCCAGCTCCTGGCCACCTCCTGCCCACACGTGAGTCTAAATGCCCAAGATAAGCGACCCCTGCAGGGAAGCCCCGGGAAGCTGCGCACGACCGGGAGGTGACCGCAGGGACCTCGTCCCCGGCCCCGCGACCGAGGGGTAGGGGCGGAGCGGAGGTGGCGGGCGCGGGGCGGGCTCGGGGGCGGCCGGGAGCCGCCCCGGGGGAGGGACCGCGAGCTCTCCCCGGAGTCCCGGCGAGCGGCGGCCGCGCCCGGGCCCCGCGCGCGCCCGGAGGAGGCAGCCCCGCCGCGGCCGCCGCGTGCCCAGCCAGTCCCCGCCCCGGGAGCCGGAGCTTCCCGCCTGACTCCGCCCGCCGCCCCGGCGCCCGCGGCTCCGGCTTCCGTCCCGGACCGTGCCTGTGGCCGCGCAGGTTGGTGCGGCCGCCGCCGCGGGGCGGGCAGGGCTCGGGGGCGGGCGGGAGCGCGGAGGGCGGCTCGGGAAGTTGGGCAGACCCTGGGCCGGGACGGGGAGGTGCTGCCTCGGCTCCCTCCGCTTCCCGGCGCCCGGGGCGGTGTTGGCTGCCTCCCGGGAGGCTCGGGCGGCGGGGAGTGCGGCCCCGCTGGAGAGGGTCTCGGGGCCTGAGCCTCCCGCGCACCCCCAAACGGCTCCCCGACCTCCGCTCGCCGCCACCAGCACCCCTGCGGTTCCCGAGGGTCCGCCTCCCCTCCTGTCTTTCCACCTTCGCACTTGCCGGCGCGCTCTCTCCCTGTGGGTACATCTGTTCCTTCGCTCTTTCTGCCCCCAACTCGGAGAACTCCGCGCGCGGGTGAGGACGCCTCCCCGACTCCGTGGGGCAGCGGGGCCGCCGGGGGCTGGCGCGGAGTCGCGCCCCGGGGTGCGTGAGCCCGGCGAGTCCAGGAGGCCGTGGAAATCCCCTCTCCTCCCGCGTCCTCGCCCGGGGCCGCCCGCCTCCCTGCCGTCCTGCCCGCCGTGGAGGAAGCACACGCCGGCGAAGGACGATCGCAGAGGCGGGATGGAAAGTATCCTCCACTTGGAGTTAATCCGGGGTTTACGCCTGGTTTCAGGCACCTTCCCGTCCGTGGCCTTGGGAACCGACCCTTTGGACACTGTTCTAGTATGCAGACGCCCGTGCCCGCCGCGGACGAGACCGTGGGGTGACTTTAGGGGTGTTACCTGATTTTGAGCCGCGGTCTCTGGTCTCCTGAAGCTGCCTGATGGCAGGTCCTGTGTTCTTAGTCGTTTGAGTTCAGGTCCTCCGGGTGAGATGTGGTTATGTCTCGCCAGGTGATTTGGTCAGTAGCTTTGTTGGGATAAAATACTTGTGTTTCTGGACCGGGTCATTAGTGTTCTGAGTTGAGATCGTCTCTTCCCCACCGATCCTTCTGTATAAAGCTATGTACCTTACGTATTTCTATGGTCATAGGAATTCAAATAGCAGAAGATCGTTATTGGTCCCAGTCTTTGGAAATAACTGTTTGATTCAGGTGTTTGCCAATCTTTATAATCTCTTTACCATCTTAGGTGCAAATATAAATTTGCTTCTAATTTTAACAATTCAGGAAGTAGACCCTTCATTTTAAGAAACTAACGTAAGATATTTAGCTCAAACAAAAGTCATGTGCCATAGTGTCTGTAAATTTTCAGTTTAAAATTTCAGTTTAAGATCATAGGCACAAGAGGCATTGTTAGCACCACTCTACTTTATGAAGAAAGCAAGTAAATGGCTTAAGAAAGTCAGCTTTGGACTTGATGTTAAATAACTAAGTACTGTAATTCATGAATTCCCTACTTATCAGACTTAAATGAGCTCCTGTATTGTGCCACTCCTTGTGCTTTGTGCTTTTAAAGATAGAAAGATATAGAATATGTTCCTTGTTCTAAAGGTTTTTCCTATCTAAATTAGAGACTAATGTTTTTATTTCATATTTGTATATGGACATCAAATATACTTCAGTGACTCATGGCAAGTAGAATGATGTGAAGAATACATGACCAAAGGTTCTTTAAAATCAGTATTTGGGAAATCTACTCAATAGGTTGTAAAAAATAACAAATTTATCTGAGCCAGTGTTTTCTGAAGTAAAATTTCAAATGCTTCTACTTCATCAAATGGGAATCATACTTGGAAATAAAACGAATTCTGTGTTTTTAGAATGAAAACTCAGAAAGCAATCCCTACATGTGTGGTGCAGTGATTCAGTGTTTAAAGCTGTAGAAATTTCAATTCTAACTTGAGTCAGTAAGTCAATTTATGGTGCCATATGTAATTTTTTTTCAACTCCTTGAGAAAGGAAATTATAATGCCTAGAATAAAAATTACAGAGATTGAAAGTAATACTTTTATCAAGTTGAAACTTGAACACTTAGAGGCTTGGTAGGCCCTGGGTTAGTTCTAGAAATTTGACTTAAAAAGTTACCAGATTCTTAAGAGTTTTTTCTTCTCTTTAAGTCTTTTAAAAAATTTTGGCTTGGTGCAAAAAGGCAAGAATCTCACCTGGAAAAGATTGACTAGTTAGACTAGGTTGTATTTGGTGTGACTCAGTGACATCTCTGATCCTTTACCTGCTCCTTGAAATAATTCATCCATCTTCTGGATAAATGTATTATTTCTTAGGCTCCACATACCAGTACTGGGCTGTGAGAGCTATGAGTCAACTCAACCAGTGGGGCAAGCCATGCTGAGGGACAGCCTGGGAAGTGAACTTTACACTTGGCCTTATTGTTAAGTACCTTTGTTATCCTATAGGTGAAATGAGATTAAAGACCCTGCCACTACCCAGAAAACTGTAGTTTGGTATTAATAGCCATGAATATTGAGCCAAAAAGTTTCTTGTCTAAGAACTTTCTTCACCCTTTTAATTCCTTTAACCAGTAAAGGCTAACTGTTATAACCACATAAAAACAGCTTAAAGAAGGGCTCTGAATAAAGTTATTGGTGATGTCATGTGCTCTCAAGTCTCTTAGGAGAAGTTTTGGTTATCTTTACCTCCTATAATTTACTGTACTGATGTAGAGAATAAGACCTTCATCTTATACAAGGTTGAACAGCAAGTTAGTGATGGAAGTGGAACTATAATTCTGATTGCGTGATAAATAGTTCTATGGTTTCTCCTTATCCAGTGTGGTCTCTTATTATCCAGAGTTCATTAAAAATTTTACATTTGTGAATTGTGCATGGTTAAAAATTCTGGCTTTGGGTTTCAATGGCTGATGGGCATGGGTTTGAATCCTGCCAGGCATTTACTAGTTTTGTCATTCTGGATAAGTTACCTAACCTCCCAAGTCCCCAGTTTTCTCATCTCCAAATGGGAATAATTGAAATACTTAGCTCAAAAAACTGTTGTAAGGTTTAAATGAGCTAATCTATGTGAAATGCTTAGCACCTTGCCTGTTATTTAGGGCATATCTACTATGCTGCTCAAGTAGTTATTTCTGTTTCTTGGGGGTGGGGAAGATAATATTTCAGAGGTCCAAATTTAAAAAATAAATGCATAAAAGCACAGGTAACCCCCCCCCCCAAATGTTTGAATTAACCATACTTCATCTTTCATTTCATTTATTTATTCAACAAGTGTTTTTTGAGCTCCCACCATGTGTTGGGCCTTTTCCTAGGCACTGGCATATGATGGTGTATTAGATAGTCACAGTCACTCTTTTGTGCCCTGAAAGTCTGGGGAGGAGTGTGCACTGTAAGCAGAAAATTACATTCTCATGTGATTCATGCCGTGACAGGGGTAATGAAGAGAACCACCGGAGAAAGACAGCCCTGGGTGGGTGGGTGTTGTATAGTGCCTCACCTCATCTTAACTGGGGTGGTGGTGGTCAGGGAAAACTTCCATGAGTACACTAATACCTGAACAATGAGCGATAGTTTGCAGCTGAAGAAGCTGGAAGATTGAAGAGTGTTCCAGACCGACAGGAACAGAGCATGATGCATTAGAGTGGAAATCAGGTGGATAATGTAAAAGGAGAAATGAATGAGAGCAGGAACGAGAGGTGTGGCAACCTGGAGAACCCTGGCTTTGTCTAAAGGGAACAGTAGATTCTCAGCTCCAGGCAAGTATATTATAAATGTGAAGTCTCAAAATGTGAAATGGCCCAGATGCTTTTTAAATTATTGTGTGAGCCAAACCAGATACATTTATACCAGACCCAGGACCACCACTTTCTGACCTCTGTTATTTAAGGACATGAGAACAAGTTTTAGTATGGCTAAGAGTGTATCTTAGAGAGGCCAGAGAAGTGCCCAAAGGCAGGGGCAGAGCCACATCATGCAGGGCATTGTGGAATTTGCTAAGGAGGGTTGGATTAATCCTGACTAATCGGTGACATCAATGACAGAAACAAGAGTGACATGATTAGACTTGTGTTTACATTCTAGGTACATTCTGGCTATTGGGAGAATGGAGGATGTCTGGGAAGAGGCTGAAGTGGTAATCATTTAAGCAAGAAATAAGTATGGCTAGAAGCTGGGCATTCAAGCAGGATGGAGAAAGATGGGTAGGTTTCACAGGCATGTATCTCCATTGTTGGAAGATAGTTCCCCTTAGTAACGTTGTTCTGCCTGTCTTGTGAGCAGAGGTACACACTGCTTTCATTCTACACTATCTTTTCAAGGGCATCTGCACAGCAGAAAGCCTTGGAAGACAGAAGTATTCTTTTGCTCTGGAGCAAAGGGCAGGTAGGCTTACTGACCAGTGTGAAAGATTTGAGTACGCTAAGCTCAGCGCTCCCCTTCTGTAATGCACATCTTTGAGTGTATCATTATCACCAGCCTTCTTTGCGCCATACTGTGGGCATTGGGATTCAGAGAACTGGCACAACTATGCTAATACTCCTGCTATTGCTCTTACTGTAAGTTAGGTGGTCCTTTGTCTTTGACCTAGGAATCTCAGGTCTTCTCCCTTATCCTTGAAACTGTCACATGCTTATTTGTTAGTTTGCAAGTAGGACAAATCTAAGATCCTTTACAATTCTTTAAAGCCACTAACCACATTGTCTGTTTAAATTTAAGTTTAAATTAATTTAAAACTGTTAATTCCTCACACTAGCCACATTTCAAGTGCTTAATAGCCACATGTGGCTAGTGGATATTATGGTGGGCAAAGCAGATAAAGAACATTTCCATCATTGCAGAAAGTACTATCAATTGCTGGTTGAAAGCTTAAGATTTTTTTCCTGTTCTTGGGTGAGTAGAGGCAGTAGAAATTGTTGATTTTGACAGTATAAGAATAATAACTTGTTTTTGTATTAGGTTCATAAGAGTTCCTTTACACAAAGGAAATTATTTCAACTTGGTTAATCAGTACAGTATTTAGTTCAGAACTGCTGCAGAAAGCAAAAGTAGAAAATTATATTGTCTATTTGGAGACTGGCCACACTGGGGCCACATGGTTTCGTATGTGTGACTGCTTTGAGGATCTGGGCTCAGAGGAGCTTGGGTTCTGAACACTGTCATCAGCTACACCTACTAGCCATGCTTAACACAAAAGGACAAGAGTGGCACCTTCGCGGGGAGGTTCTGGAGCACAGCCAGTCCAGCAACACCCAGGCAGTGCTGGGGCAGTGCAGGTGGGCTATCTACACTTGCAGAGCAGAGAAGATGGACGACAGGAATGAGGTTTCCAAGGGGCTCTTGTTCAGAAGTTTAAAAGGACAGCCTCAAGAAGAGGGAACTGGACTCAAAAAGAAAAATAGTAGTACCTTAAAGCACAACTTCAATGACACAGCAGAGGTGTGGGAAAATGCCAAGAAACAGTAAAAGCAGCAGATCCTGCTTCCCCATCAGAAGGGGGAAGCTCATCTGGAGGAGGTCATGGACCCACAAGTACCGGGAAATGCAAGCACAACGTTCTTCATATCATTCTTTCTGTCATTACAGGCCCAGCCAACAGCAGCTGCAGCCACAAAGGACAATGTTTACCTGCCTTGAGTGTGCTGTTGACTGCTGGCCATATAGTTACAGCATAAGCAAAACAAAGGTCCGTGGTATAGACTTTGAAAAGTAACGGCAGAGGCCCTTACGGAAGAATCATTCTACCACCTGCTATTTCCATGACTAAAAATGCCGTATCAGAAATTTTGGATATTAAGAATTTCATTTACCTATGCCAGAAGAAATTTGCTTTACAATAGTACTTATTTATAGTGCAGCAAAATTTTACTTATATGAAGACTAATTCAGAATTTAAACATCTGAGTTTGAGACTATTTTAAAAATGGAATTTATTACTTTAAAGTGCTTATATACATAACCCAGAACCTGCTAACTATGTTACCTTTCAGGACTCTTGATGAAAAACTTTTATAAGAGACATGTTAATTTGAAGTAGTGTGACGATCGCTTGCATGTAACCAGAAACTCCTATAGCGTTCAAAGCAAACTTCGGTAGGTTATACATATAACTCTTGTTCATGGAGATCCCATCAATAAATCCTTACTTTCACAGATGCTCCTTCCCAAGTTTCAATACCTTCTGAGAGAGCCAAGCTCAGGCCCTGTGTTTCAGCGCTACATTGCTAAGTGCCTTTTTTTTTTTAATTCTGAATTTAAAAATCCCATTTTTGCAGAGGTGGAAAAGGTTAGTTACCCTCCCTACATTCTCCTGTCTCCTGCCTCCCTAAATATGGTAACAGCAGTTGTTGAGCATGCTTTCATTTTTCCTTTCTGTTTTGTTTGCCACAGTTCTTGTCCAGGCTTCAGGCTTGCATTTCCTTGTGCCTCCATTCAGAATTTTCACCAGTTTCATGCTGTCCTGTCTCAGGCAGGGTGTGGTAAATCACCTTTGGAAAACAGGCTCTAGAAAAACTGGAGTATGTGGTTGAAATTGTTGGTGCACTGTCCTTAGAAACAAACCCAGGAGACTTGCTGTTTATGGCATGAGTCAATGTTGGGTTCAAATGAAAGGAAATGATAGTTGATTGCTCTCCATGCCCATCAACGCTACATCTTATTTTAAAAGAAGCCTGAAATTAGGACATAAAAATAAACTAATAAGCTCTCTCTTTCCCTTAGAGAATTTAGAATTATATGTATTCCGGTGTTAGGTGATTAACAGCAACAATGAGGGTCATAAATTAGGCTATGTCCTTTAACCCATGGTTTCCTATAGTGCTTCGAAATTTTCTTTAAGTTGCACATGAGTGACTTTAATCAGGAGCAAAGTGGGTTTGTTCTATTATATGCCATTTCCTGCATGGCCCTTGCCTCACTTAGCTATTACTGTATGCCTAATCAACCACAGTGAAATGTCTTTAAAACATTTTCTAGGGGACTAAGGACTTTTTGGAGAACTTTTATAAAGGAAAATGCCAGAAGAAGGAAAGTTTGAATGGTTTCTTGGCATCGATAAACATTTCCAGAGAGACTGATGAGTCAAGGAGTTCTTAATAGGATATGTAAATGTAACCTTTCACCTAGTTACTGTCATTACCTAAGTCTTAACTGTATAGTTTTAGCAAATTGTTTGAACTGGTGTTTTGTTGAGTTCCATAAGGAAACAGACTCTCTTGATTCCATTCTTTTCCAGCTTATGGTCTGAGCTGTTTCAAAGTTCGCATTGCCCTAGGCTTCCTCTCGCCTTCTGTTTTAATAGCAGCTTGTCATCGTGTTATAGATTTTCACAGATATCTTTGTCTGCAGCTTCACTTCAGTGTTTGTGGAAAGTGTTTTTATCTCTGTATTTGATACTGACTTCTTGCTCTTTGGTTCCCAATAGGGGGTCTTCTTTCAACAAATATTCAATGCCAGTTATGTACCAAGCAGTATTCTTGACCCTAGAGGTGCCATAATGAGCAGGAAAATCATGCTCTGTGCTGTCATGGAGTTAAGAGTCCGAGATGAAGACAATTACTAATTTAAAAAACTCACACTAACAGTTATCAAAGGGAAAGGGACTGGGGAGGATGGGTGGGAAGGGAGGGATAAGGGCAGGGAAAAAGAAAGAGAGCATTACGTTTAGCATGTATAGTGTGTGGGGGGCACGGGGAGGGCTGCGCAACACAGAGAAGACAAGTAGTGATTTTACAGCATCTTACTACGCAGATGGACAGTGACTGTGAAGGGGTATATGGGGGGGACTTGGTGAAGGGAGGAGCCTAGTAAACATAATGTTCTTCATGTAATTGTAGATTAATGATACCAAAATAAAACCTCACAGCAATTAATAATTACATAATTACAAACAAAGGTAGATGCTGTGAATAGAGCCGTACACTTCTGTGGGCTTGAATAACAGGAACCCAAGGAAATGACACTGGATTGATGAGGCATGAGTGGGAGATTTGAGAAAGAGTGGGGAGAAGAGCATTCCAGACAACAGAGGGAGTTTGTGCAGAGGCC